AGTAGTCCCCATCTAAGACCATCTAATGCACCCATCTTTAGGTATAGAAAGAACCAAATATTTACCTTGGGAATTTTCCCCGGGAGACAAAACTTGCGGTTTTCTAGTCTCAAAACACCAAAAGTAATATTTGTCTAAAAACAATGAGTTTGAAAGGTTTTAAAAATATATCACATAAGCCACCAAACAATATCTCATTTTTTTAGTCTGTTAGCCCTTGTGACAAGCCATGGTTTATAAGGTCAGTTTTCCAAATAAATAGCCAATATATTCAAAGAGTATAAAATAGTCCTATATTAAACTGTATGATGTGTACTTTGGGGAAAAATACTGAACATAACCCAATGTAATGAAAAACTTGGCTTTCCTCAATTATAATGCTGACTGGATTTTGTCTTCTTCAACCATTGGGATTAGAGATTCCTAAAGCAGTTTGCTTTGATGAGTCACATGTGTAATACAATCACTGACCCTATCCCCACCTAAAATACTGTAACCCATTTTCCCCTCCAAGATCTGCCCATAGTCATTTCACAAGAGAAAGAAAAAAAGAACTGATTAAAAGGAAATAGAACAGACAGTGAGTAAGCCATGAACAACTGCCCAAAGAACTGTAAAAAACCTGGAAGATTGTTTCCATGTGTTTCCATTAGATAGAGTTGCCATTAGGAGTGAACGGAGAATACTGATAAAGTTATATCCATTCCCGTCTTTTGTAAGTGTAGTCAGAGCCAAAGAATAAAAAGCACAATTACGGGAGAACTTTGCACAGTTTTCACACAGAAAAACATCTGGAATGGATCCAATGCAAATAACTCGTTTAATCTGTAATCCCATAACCAGAGAATATAAAAATGACTTTATATACATTTTTAATATACATAGAAAAGAGATGAAGGGTGTACTAATAATTCTCTTTGAAAGGCAAGATTACAAGTCAGGCCCAGTAGCTTATGCCTGTAATCTCAGCATTTTGGGAGGCCAAGGTGGGTAGACTACTGGAGGTCAGGAGTTCGAGACCAGACTAGTCAACATGATGAATTTACTAAAAATACAAAAATTAGCCGGGCGTGGTGGTGCATGCCTGTAATTCCAGCTACTCAAGAGGTGGAGGCAGGAGAATCACTTGAACCTTGGAGGCAGGGCTTACAGTAAGCCGAGATGGCGTCACTGTACTCCAGGTTAGGCAACACAGCAAGACTCTGTCTCAAAAAAAAAAAAAAAAAAAAAAAAAAAAAAAAGGGCAAGATTACAGATTCCTTTTTTCTCTTTTTGCATGACAAATATATACTCATCGTAGACAATTTAAAAATGACTTGTGATTTTAAAAAATAGATTTAGTATAAATGATTAGGTAGTTAAAAATCTAAAGATCAGAGTATCAAAATGTGACAAATAACATCTACGGTCTTAGTAAATTTTTCTACAGAATCATTTTCCCCATTAAAAGGTATTATAGTTTGAACTGTCCTCCTCCAAAAAGTCGTATGTTGAAGTACTAATGCCTGGGACCTCAGAATGTGACATTTGGAAGTAGGGTCACTGCAGATGTATAATAATAAGTTAAGATGAAGCCACACCAGAGTAGGGTGGGCTGCTAATCCAATATAATTGGTGTCTGTAGAGAAAGGAAAAATTTGGACATAGAGACAAGCACAGAGGGAGAATGCCATATGAAGAAGAAGGCAGAGATCCAGGTGATGCTTCTGCAAGCCATGGAACACCAAAGGTCACCAGCAAACCATCAGAGAAGCTAAAGAAAGGCATGGAAAAGATTCTCCCTCACAACCCTCAGAAGGAACCAACCCTGATGACATCTTAATCTTGGGTTTCTAGCCTCCAGAACTGTGAGATGATAATTTATCACAGTTAAGTCACCCAGTTTGTAGTATGTCAGCCCTAATAAACAGATACAAAAAGTTTCAAAGTACACCACACAAAGACATTACACTTTGGCCACAGACGTTTTTACCCCCAACAATCTCATGTTTGATGACTAGTGCCTGCAAAATCAACTTTTTTTAATCAAATGTCCCAGCTCCTCCATCCCCTCTATTGTTGCTATTGGTAAGACTACATAACTAAGTCTTCTCCCACAGAGTGTGAGAGGAAGTGACAGATGCCACATTCAGGCCTGGGCCTTACAACGATGGCATCTCCCTCTAGTCAACACTCTATCTCCCTCACCAGCTCACACCTGGACATGGTGGTGACCCAGCTTCAACAAGGGAGATGAACGCCATGGCTTAGAGACAACCCAACTATGTCTTAGAAGGAGCCTGACTTGCTGACTGACAGAATGGGACCCAGCTACCAGCACAGCTGAAAGACTCTCCTTGGAACAGTACATGAGAGTACAACAAATGACTGTGCTCTCTGTACTATATTGTTGGGGTTTGGTGTTTTGGTGTTTTTTTGTTTTGTTTTTTTGTTTGTTTGTTTGTTTTTTGCCATAACATCTAGCCTTTTACCTTTTATCCTTTATTAAGTGTTTGGGAAACAAATCATTTCAAACCCATGTAGTAAAACAGGGTAGATCTCTGAAAAAAAATAGAGAAAGAAAACTGGGTAGATCTCTGAAAAAAAAAATAACTTTGACTCAATGGGAGAAGTGTATAAGCTTAACAACTACTATTATAGCTTCAAATTTGAGATAATATGTTTGACAATCTTACTGTCTGTTAAACTGAAATGTAAGCTCTTTCTGGAAACATACCAATTCTTATTTTGGAAGATATTTTTTAATTAATTTTATTATTTTCTAATTTAAAAACTTTAATAAGAATTAATTAGATCAAAATTTAGTCATATTAGTATGATTTTGCATATATTTTTACAGTACCAAAAAAACCATAAAGTTACATATGAAAGTTCCACACTCCTCCTCAAATCTCTATATAGGGAGAGGCACTATGAAGCTAGGTAGGTATCCTTCCAGGCTTAGAAAAGTTGAGGAGCTGAACTTTAAACTCAGCTAAAAAGAAGTTTTAATTTTTGTTTGTCATACCTCAAAGTAAAAACTAAGAAACATTCCAGTAATAAGCCTAGATCCTTCATATTTGCATTACTTTAGAGAGAGAAAATTATTTCTTCAAGATGCTAGTGAGCAGTAATGTGGACTAGTCCTTAAATGTTTCCCCAAATGTCATTATGTAAAACTAGAATATGTGTGACAGCATACAACTTCCTGAAGGACAATTCAGTATTTCTCCAATACTTCATTCTACTGTAGATGAACCAGAATGTCTACTTCTGTCTAGTCAAAACAGTGAAAAATGACTCTTCTGGAATTTGGGCTATTTGTCTTCTAAATTACAGGGTTTTTGCTGGATAAGTATACAAATTCTATATGGACACTTGTCTATGGGAAAGACACTTCCTGTAGAACTAAAGAAAAATATGAGAGGATAAAATATACTCCCATCTAGTTATTCAGAGACCTCATTAATTGGTGACCAAGAATAGAATCTATGACTCCAACTCAAGTTTGTGGGATGCACACATGTTCCTGGATTCAAACATGTGTTTCCATTTAAACTGCTGGAATGTATATATGTCTCTGCAAAGAGTGAGAAACATCAGCAAATCTGGGAATGAAAGTCCTTTATGATCATATACACCATATTTTGACACAGCTTTTAAACTGTCTGAAATCACAAAGATGAAGCATGTGCTCTTTACATCTATCTGTGAGTTAAAGAACAATAATGAAGAAGAATCCTTCCACAGATAGCATCTGTATTTACCACCATAGCCAACCCACGGGAAATCTATGATTTCTGCTATTTGTTTTCTTTACATTTTATCTTTTTCTCTGAGACAGGGTCTTACTCTGTCACCCGTGCTGGAGTGCAGTGGCACGATCATGGTTCACTACAGTATCAACTTCCTGGGCTCAGCTGATCCTCCACCTCAGCCTCCAGAGGAGCTGGAACTACAGGCACACACCATTACACTCAGCTAATTTGGGGTTGTTTTTCAAGTAGAGGTGGGATTTCTCCATGTTGCCCAGGCTGGTTTTTTTTTTTTTTTTTTTTTTGAGACAGAGTCTCACTCTGTTACCCAGGCTGGAGTGCAGTGGTGCAATCTCAGCTCACTACAACCTCTCCCTCACAGGTTCAAGGGATTTTCATGCCTCAGCCTCCCAAGTAACTGGGATTACAAGCATCTGCCACCACACCTGGCTAATTTTTGTATTTTTAGTAGAGACAGGTTTTTGGTGAGGCTGGTCTCAAACTCCTGACCTCAAGTGATCCACCTTCCTTGGTCTCCCAAAGGGCTGGGATTACATGCACATACCATCATGCCCGGCCCCAGGATGTTCTTGGATTCCTGGGCTCAAGTAATCCGCCAGCCTCAGCCTCCGAAAGTGATAGGATTACAGGCATGAGCCACTGCACCCAGGCTTTTTGTCTTCTGTTGTCTAACCCTGGTTGCTAAGCCTGCCCCGGCTAACACCAGGGCATTCTGAAATGCTCAGGTATTGAGTAAAAGTTGGAGATTCACCAACGTCAGATAACGCCACGGCAGGGGTCATAGTACCTAAACTGCAACAGCCGGAGCCTACAAAGCAAGGGTGGAAAACTGGTAGTCTAGCACATTCTATTTGGCCAGTAGAGCATTTTAAAATGGGTTTTAATTTTAAAACATTTAGAAAAGACCCCCCCATCCTATGCATCAGATAGGACAGTATACCTCACCCTGTATACCCTCCTATGTCACAAGCCAACCAAATGAAGTATGAATGCCACATGCATGAATCCACGTCTGAGCCCTCTTACGTTTTATTTGCCTTCAAGCAAACATTTCATTAGATTTTCCTGGGAAGTATTCTTCCTGGAATGGTTAAGTCCCACACAGCATCCCCTCTTTTCCAGTTCCTATATGGAAACCTGTTATCCTCCACATGAAGAGGAGCGTTCGGGGGCTTCTAGGATAGCTGCTGAGATAGGTATATTTCCTCTTATTTATCACCATGGCAAGAGTAAAAAGCAACTTACCTTTTGAAAAAAGTCTTCCCCACTTCTGCCTTTCCCTTCAGCAGCAGCTGTAAATAAAAATGTATACATTTAAAATACTTTCTTTTTTCAATATATGCATTCAAAAAACTTTCAAACATCAGATATGAGAATGCAAAAGCAAAGAAGCTGCCAGCCTTACCCTCCCACAGTGCAGTGCCTCACTGGGATGCAAAACTGGTAAAGAACAGTACTCCAATCCATCAATTACACATCTCTAGATTATCTGACACTCTTTTGCTTTGTCTGAGAGACTTATGAACCCCACACACTTAGATGATGAAAGTGATCTTGTCCTTTCATAGTTAAAGAACTACATGAATAAACGCAACTATCAAAGTAATCAGCTGTCGCATTCCAAGCTCTTCCTATCTGTGATCAATCCCAGGCACAAGAGGCTGCCTTGTCAGCAAGTGGCTCAAGTATACAGCCTACTTCAGAACTGTTTCCATTTTATGCTTTATAATGACTATATAATCTACTTGAATTTCAGTTGGCCTCACATACTTTTAATTCACTCCTTCAGTTGTATATACAAAGAGAGAAAAAAAACACATGAGAACAGTAAGGGTGAAGGTCATAGCCAACAATGAAATTGCATGTAGCATTAATTAAAAGATCACTGTGTTTGAACATCATTTTTATAGATAAATGGTAGCCTATAAATACAGGACAAACTCATTTCTCAGTCTGTGTTCTAGATCCTGTGATTCTATGAACATTTTTAATTCATTTGTGTTGAGGGGTGGGGAATTTGACTAAAAGGAGAGCAGCAATAGAAAGCCAATAGCATCTTGCTTGCAACAGACTCAGACTGCATCTTTCTAAGCCGAACAGGACTCTGATTCAGGTGCAGGGTGGAGTGATTAATGGGAAAAGTCCGGTCAGGACAAAGAACGGTACTGAAGCGAGAACTACTGGAAATGAAAGTCTGGAAGACCACAGTAAACCAAACACCTGCTAGGCAATATCTCGACATGGCCATGTTTGTGTGTAGAAGTGCGTGTGTGTGTGTGTGTGTGTGTGTGTGTGTGTGTGTCCACAGCACTTGTTAAAATGACTAAAGACCCAAGAAATATGGCAAAGCAATCACTTATGAATCACATTTGTCACTTACCAAGTTTTGACAAGCACCTACCATAACTTTGACATTGCTAAGTAAAAGATTCAAAACTTGAGAAATTCTCTCTGCCCTCAAAGAAATAAAAGTATTTAAATTCTTGTTTTACCAACTTAAATTTTACAGTTAAATATAAGATACCTTCTCTATTTTTGTAGAAATGTGTATTTTTTACCAACACATTTTTATTCAAACAACAGATTGCAGAGTACATGTTTCTGGAAATCCCAAGGACAATCTGAAAAAAAAAATCATAAAAAAACAAGAACTAAAAAGGATTTTTAAAAATGTATTCTAACATGTGGTAGGGCTGAATAATGACTCCTGGCAAAGGTGTTCATGTACTAATACCTGGAATCTTATGTGGCAAAAGAGACTCTAGATGTCATTAAGTAAAAATATAGGAAGATTATCTTGAATTAGCCAGATGGGCCCAATGTAATTATGTCCCTAATGAAAGAGGCAGGGGGCTCAGAGTACGAGAAAGTGATACGACAATGGAAGCACAAGGAGAGACGATACATGACAACAAAGGACAGATCAGAGAGGACAAAGATTTGAAGACAGAGGAACAGGCCATGAGCCAAGGACTGTAGAGGGCCCCTAAGAGCTGGAAAAGTCAACAAAATTGATCTTCCCCTATGGCCTCTGTAGAAAGTACAGCCCTGCTAACACCTTGCTTTCAGCCCATTGAAACCCATTTCAGACTTTAGATCCCAAAAAGTAAGATTTCTGTTGTTTTAAGCCACTACACTGTGGTAATTTGTCATAGCAGCAAAAGCAAACTAACCTCTGATGCTAATATCTTTTTAACTTTTCTTTTTGCATGAATTCCACACCATCAATAGCATGAACTACACCCAGACACTGTACCACGCCAAGTCTCAGGTTCCAGCCCAAGCTGAGGACCAAGGGGAGGTGGGTGGTTGAGTGGCGAGCAGCTGAAAGAACACTTGAGGAATCACAGGGAGTTGTGACATGACGTTATTCTCTCTCGGCACAAGTGAGCCTGGGAGCAAACCATGGGTGCAAACCTAGGCACAAGCCGACCCAGGCGCAAGCCCTACATATAGCATCAGCAGGGTAATTATACCTTTTACAGACAATAGTGGCTCTCAGCCAAGCACGAGCTCACATGGGTGATCATCTAATGCACCTCACGTGATGCAGTTATATAATGAGTGGAACTGTGTACCTGCACCCCAAACTCCAAACTCATGCTGAACTGGATGTCTGCCTCGGCCTATTCTTGACCACAGCACATACATTTTCCTTACAATCCACCCCCTAGGCCGAGGGAGACACAGACATTGGATGCACGGGCCCAACACACAGACCTCATACATAGGCTCTGGGAACGTAGGCCAGGCCCCAGACACTCAGGTCCAACACATAAGCCTTACATTCTACCCGCTAGGCAGAGGGAGTTTTTCTAGTGGGGAGACATGCCCACAGGGCAGAAACCCGGACCCAGAGTCCACAGCAGTAATACAGGAAGCAACAACTCCAGGTTATGATGGGCAACCACCCCATGATGACATTACGCCAGTGTTGCTTTATATATTAAGCCAGGTTTTTATTTCCCTTCCTTTAGGAGCACTGGGGCAGGGAACAACAGATTACCATTGGTCCGCATACCTCGTCAGGGGAGGTCGTCCTTCCTTCCATAGGTTTTGCCACATGGCTTAGCCCTATATGGGCCACTTCTATAACTTTTAGATAGTTAAACACAAGATTAAGCCTCAATAAACTGCCAAGCTCTCACTGCAGATTACCATAGGTGTCACCACCTTGGTTACAACATTCACACTGCTCTGATTTCAGCCCACTGGCTACTTTGTCCACACCTGCTATCACACCGTACAGTGTCAGTACTTGGCTGGACTATGACAGCAGTCCAGGCAATAGCAGCACTCCAGCTAGACCCATTAGTATATCATACCCCATCAGGAATGCAGGGGTGCCTCAGGCCCCATGGCCTTATCTTGCATTAGAACTACAGGTTGTGAGCAGACCTCCTGCAGCTCTGCTGCTAAGGCCCTTGTACTCAGTGTACTCTGCTGCTCCGAGTAGGTGCCACACTTTGCTAAAGCGAATGTCTGTGCCGTCCTGGTCCAGGGGCGGTGGGGGTCATTATCGATGAATGCACCAATCCTGCTATCAGATAAGTCATCTACACCATGACTGTAGCCCATCCTGCTATGCTCTCATGACCCTTAAGGGAAGCAAATGCAATTACTAATTGCTTCTCTATCAATGAATACTGGAGCTCAGCTCTTTTCCATATTTGGGACCAAAAGCCTACTGGCATTCTCAAGCACTCCATGTGCTGCTATATAGGCCCCAGCCAAAACCATCTGTGGTCACATAAACATCCAGCTCAAACAGGTGCCTCTGGTCAACTACCCGTAGGGCTTGTGCCTGCTGAATAGCCCACTTGGCTGCCAGGAACGTGGTCTCAGCCACCCCATCTTAAATCTAGGCAAGGGGAGTGTTTCCACTTCTAAATCTACAAGAGAATCAGAAGTTAACATAATATCATTAACAAAACCATGACAGCCAGTGGGGCTACACATATAGCCCTGCAGCAACACTGTGAAGATCCACTGTTGCCCTTGCATGAAGGCAAACTGTTCCTGGCTCTCTGGAAAAGAATCCACTGGCCAAGTCCACTACATAGTGGTACTGTCCCAGTTTTGTCAAGCAGTCCATTAAGCCCATTGATATACAGCATGGCTGCCAAGCCATGTAAAACATCCACTCCCAAAATGTGTATGTGCTGGTGTCTACCAGTGCCAGCACTTGTGGTATGTTGTTGGGGGAACAGCAGACTGTCAACTCCACATGTGGCCTCCAGTCATCTGGTGTCCCCCCAAGTCGGGCACCTTGGTGAGTTCCCTCATCATACAGAAAAGGCTTTACACCCCCACCTGGCTGTAGCACATTTAGTCTTTGAGCTGAAGTGCCCAGGTGGGACCAGGTTATACAGCAATGTCCATCTCCCCATTGGGCATTTTCTGGAATTGCACAGAGTTAAGAGTACTTCCTTTGGTCGCTTATCAATTTTCTCTCAGTCAACCCTGGCCAAAATCAAATCAATCCGCATCTGTGGGCATGTCACTTGTTGGGGCCCCCTTTTCTCCCATAGGGGGCCCCCTGCAGGTGGAGCATCTTCCCCTTCTTTACAGTGTAGACCCCTCAGTCCCATCAATAGCCTCCTGGGTACCCAACACAGGGGGTCTCTGACCATGATGCATTCACAGCAGCCTCTAATTCCTTTACTGAGCCCTATAGCCGGGCTTCCAGGCATGCCACCTGCACCTGAAGGTCTCCATTTACGGCAGCTCCTAAATCTTTTTCTGAGCTGTGTAGCCAGGCCTCCAGGCACCCAGACTGCACCTAGGGAGCCCTTACTTCTGCTGCATCCCTCAGGGACTGAGTGTGTACTTCTTACACAGCAGTCAAAAATGCCTATCCAACTCTGCTGGCAAAAGCTTGCTCCTTCTCACTGCTCTGCACTTCCAGCTGCTTCGGCACCTTCTCCATGGTCGTGGGAGACCCATCTACCACCGCTCAGGTTTCCGCAAGAACCCACTGAGCAATATAGCTGTCATTGAGCACCACAACCCATGCTGCAGTCACATGGCCAACCTGGAATCAGAGAAGACCAAAGGCTCATGTTTCTTAGTATCCTGCTGGCTACGCCAAGTATCATGCCAAGTGTCAGTTTCCAGCCCAAGCTAAGGATGGAGAAGTGAGTGGACAAGTGGCAGGCAACTGAAAGAACACTCAAAGAATGGTAGGGAGTTTCAACATGGCTTTATTCTCTCTCTTGGCATGAGCAAGCTGACTGGGGCACAAGTTGTATGTAGTGTTGGCAGGGTAATTATACCTTTTACAGACAATAGT